AGCCTGAAGTCAACTAAAGGGCTAATGATAACCGTCAAGAAGCCTGCCATTCGATATATATATATAAATATATGTTTTTGTGGAACCCGCATGAAAGGTGTGTGATCAATTTGTTTCCAATTTTTCATTGTTCAAAAAAGCCATCTGCCCATGAAAAATACGGGAGTCTGTTCTCATTCGCCCACGAAGCAATGCTAGCGCTGAATTGCCGTCAGTTTTCTCATCCAGTAGCTGAAACACTTTTAAGTAAGCTTCATCCAATTAGCACTGACTGTCAACACTTTCAAATACTGCCAAAATTCATTCTGATTTGGACTGGCCACATGCGACTGCCAACTACAATTTACAATAATTGTCTAGAGGGCAGTTTCTTTGCCTATACCACATTTTTGGTTAAATCAGCTTTGGCGTCTTACAACTGTACTTAGTAATATGTCATTTTGGATTAAGCATTTTGTCTCCTCAACGGCTGGACAAAGAACGAGAAGTGTGGTGACAGGACTGAACCTTCCTGTTTGAAAAAAAATGTCAGGCATTTGTTGTGGTCCATGAGGTGAGGCGTGAAAGTTGAAAGCTGAAATGGGAGATGTTCGGTTATTCGATTTTCCCCATACCGAATTCAAGTATAACATGCAGAAAGTCTCCTAAAAACTTGAATTTGATCCAGGTATCCTTTTGATTCACATTTCCTAATCACGTATTGAACTCTTTGTCAATTGAGTTCAGTGGCTTGCAAAAGTTACAACTGGTGAAGTTTGCTTTGCATCAATGATGGCAATAGGTAGGGGGGTGCGATAGACTTACCTCCACGTGGTGTACCCTGGGCAAGCTAAACTCGTACGGCAAAAAGTCTATTAACTGGCAGTTGACTTCGGACTTCAAATTATCGTGACCAGACTGTAAGTCATATTCGACCACTTTCACAGTACTCATCTTACCCATCTCTACCTTTGTGTCTGTCTGTCTCATTTGCATCTGTGAATCACTGTTCTGTCCTCCCCCCTCTCGAATTTTCCTCACCTTGCTGTTCCTTCCCTTTGTGAAGCTCGAAGTCAACTAAAGTGCTAATGATAACTATTAAAACGTTTGCCATTAGAAATGAATAAATGAAAGATATATTCTTTTCATTTTGGACAGCAGTAAACCCTTAAGGTTATTTCCAAAATTAAAAATGTAAATTGAATGTTAAAATTTCTAAGCCAAATCATTGAATGGCCCATAGAAACCAAACCAATAAACTTTGACTAATAATAATAATAATAATAATAAGCCCAAAACTCATTCATTAGATTGTTTATAGAGTCTAATTGAAGTGTTCTATATAGTGTAGCAAATTTCACGAAAACTTCTTGAATTAAATGCATATCAAATTAATTTGACTGGCGAGATGAAATCAACCTCTCCACGAGGGTTTGTGCAATTTTTTCCCATAAGAGAGGGGATAAATGAAGCATTGGACGTTTGATAACTGAAATTAATGAACTGCATGACATATACATAAGCAGTAAAACACTTTCAATNAATCTGTAAAGGTGTTTTGCCAGGCAATCATGTCCGGTATGTAGTATAAACTCGGCAACAGCTTTGAATGAGTAGGCTGATTGCTTCTGAACGTATTTACACTTGTCTTAATCTTCAATCAGCGTTACTATCTGTCTGAAAATTCCAGGTCAGATCATAACTCAATCTAAATGTTACAAATTTATGTAGCAATAACAAATGCATTAGACCTCTGTTTATCGTTATGCAAACACTAGTCGCGTCACATTTGTAGACTATAAAATGATGAAGCTTTTTTCTTAAAGGGTTTTTATTTCTAAGAAATCGGGGTACGCGATAGACTTACCTCCACGTGGTGCACCCTGGACAACGTATCTTCGTACGGCAAAAAAGTCTATCACTCGGCATTTGATTTGACTTCGATTTATTAGGATTAGCTTGAAACAAGGATATAAGAGAAATCGCCCTCGTCAGGGCGAATCACAACGTCTACAGATCCTTCAGTGGAATGTTGGAGGGATATCACAGGACAAAAAGATCCAAGTTTAGAAAACCCTACAAACCTATGATGTAGACATTTTCGCAATTATGGAAGCAAACATTTCGGATGACAAACTGAAGTACTACCAATTCCCAGGTTACACCCTGTACATTCTACCTAAATACCGGCAAGTTGCAAGTGGAATTCTAACTGGAGTAAAAGAAGACCTCACCTCACACTACGATCTAATCAAGAGTATGGGCTCGACACAAGACATTTGTGAAATAATCAGATTAAATGTTTGGAAATGTCAAAACCACTTCAAGATATATGCTGTCTATAATCCACCTCAGAATTGTCCCAACTTTGACTTTCTGAACATCTCACACAAAACTATAGTATTAGGAGACTTCAACGCCCACTCTACCAGATGGGGCTACAAGGATACAGACATAACTGGAAAGGAAATTGAAGACATGCTAAACAGCAACCCTCTGGAACTTATTTACAGCAATGAGGATCCGGCTACATATTTGCACTACAATGGAACCAGAACAACTCCTGCCTTACTCCTGGCTTCAAGCAACATCAGCGAGCATACACGCTGCAAAATAATTGACGATCCTGGTTCTGGTCACAAACCAGTCATTGCTAGTATTACCATCGGCAGCAAAAGCATGACAAGGAAAGTGCCAACTAAGCTATCATGGAACTTCAAGAAGGCTGACTGGCCTAGATTCACAAAAATTTTAGAGAATGAACTTCACACAAGTCCCCTCAACTTCAACCAACGTCCTGACAAACTTTGCAACGATATCACAAATATTACGATCAGGTGTTCAAAGAAAACTATTCCCAGAGGCAAGACTAAACACTATCGAGTGTTTTGATCTAACCCATAGGCAAGACTAAACACTATCGAGTGTTTTGGTCTAAACACATAAACACTATCGAGTGTTTTGGTCCAAACACCTTGAGGAAGCTAAAAGAAAGCGGGACGCCCTTCGCAACACTGCTGATCAGTGTAAGAGGGACGCCCTTCGCAACACTGCTGATCAGACTGGGAGGGACGCTCTTTGCAACACTGCTGATCAGACTGGAAGCGCGACGCCCTTCGCAACACTGCTGATCAGACTGGAAGAACAAACGCCCTTCGCAACACTGCTGATCTGACTGGAAGAACGGAGTCAAAACACCTTGAGGAACTGAAAAGAAAGCGGGACGCCGACACTGCTGATCAGACTTTAAGAACGGAAGACGTACAAGCCTGGTGACGACAATCAGCTGCCCGAAGGCAAGCCATCTTACAAGCTAAACGGACTTTACAAATACTTATTCAAAAAGTGCTTATTCCACTTCTCTTGTGCCTAAAATAGATCTACTTGGCAAATAGTTCCATAACTAGTAATTTGCTCTCCGATTCGTGTAGGAAGATTAGGCAGCAAAATACAACTTCCACTTCTTCTTTTTTTTCAAAGACATTTCCGACATTGACCATACCGAACGACCTGGCCATCAGCTCTATAATGCCAAACAGCACCGCACAGCACAGCACACCCAAGGCTCAATCTTTTCAAGGCATTTAATGGGGAGAAAATGTCTTAATTCTTGCCTGCAAATACCAACAACGAAATTGGATTTACCCACAGTTGCAGAAAAAAGTTCTATAATATCTTAAAGGGTGTGTGAGTGTTGGCGGGGGGGGGGGGGGGAGGAACTTTCAGGAGAAAATAAAAAAGTGAATAACTCTCCCACCCCCTCTCCAGGACTCCGGTTAGGCACTCATTGATTATAAGATAAGACAGAATGAAGTGAATAGAATTTCCTTGTGTCATAATTTGGAATTGTTATGAAATATTAACTACGTTATTAGCATTGATCATGCTAATGGCGAGTAAACTTTGACAATTTTAATAATTGGTCAAAAAAACATTCGAAATGGAGAGTGAATGAATAATATGTTTAAGTAAATATTTATTTATATCAAATGGCAGGCGCCTTGATGGTTACCATTAGCCCTTTAGTTGACTTCAGACTTCACAGAAGGAAGGAACAACAAATTGAACAAATCGAGAGGGGGAGGGAAGAGAAGAGTATTTCAAAGATGTAAGAGACAAACACAAGGGTAGAAAAAAGGTGAGGTAAGTATCGTGAAGGGATCGAATATGGCATAGAGTGAGGTGATGTAATCTAAAGTGAGAAGTCAACTGCCAGTTAATAGACTTTTTTGCCGTCTGAATATACGTTGCCCAGGGTGCACCACGTGGAGGTAAGTCATCTGAATATACGTTGCCCAGGGTGCACCACGTGGAGGTAAGTCCATCGCACACCCCTGTTTAAGTAAATATGAACTGGAAGAGAATAAATCAGAATTTGGCGATATTCACAGTGTTTGAATTTGCCGAGTATTTAAAAAATTGTTTGAATACGAGATTATGTCTGACACCTTGATTTATTATATATATATATATATATATATATATATATATATATATATTCCGTTATATATATATATATATATATATATATATATATATATATAACGGAATAAAGAGTTTACTAAGAAATATAGATTCAGGTAGTCGGAGACAGCCAAGAGCCGATTAAATAGACTAACAGTGTGGCCAATCATGGCAGAATTTGCGTTTTTTTCGCCTTGAAATTGATTTGCAAAAGTATAAGTGAACAACAACTCAGCATTGCACAAATTTTTGGATAATAAATGAATCAATAATTTCATTCCAAAAGATAAAAATGCATGCACACAATGTTGATCAGGTAGGGTGTGTGATAGACTTACCTCCACGT